ACCCTCGCAGCTGCATGAGGTCAGGTGAGCGTGCCTTTAATGGAGTTAGAATTGAGCGGAATCGATAATAATACATGTACTATGGCTGTTTTCGATGTTTTCACTAATTCCCATCAGCGCTGACACATTCGAAGAACTTGCTTTCATCTGATTGCTTCTCGGAAATATAATTGCTTAACACCAACAGCATTGTTTGCCATGTTATATTTTCTTAGTGGTCTTAGTGGCTATTGTTTCTGGTGAGGGTTTTTTCATAGATATCGTGTTGATGGTTGGTTATGCTCTCTCTTTTGCAAAGATTACAACTTGTCTGTCAGGAACAAATGAAAGAGAAACACCGTGTTACGCTTTTTTCCACTGAAACGAGTTACTACAAGTCTGACAGTCTAGTAGCAAAGACACCCACTCGTGTGACCTAATTGTGTTGCAAGTACCGTAAAACTCTTGCTAAAACACAAACAAAAAACCTATTAGATCTGCTGTTTAAATGTTTCTCGAGCACTCCATAAATTGACCAGAGGAGCTATCGCTGAGCAGACACTGCTACAACTCAGTGGCGATGTGTCTTCCGCTCACGTTGTATCAGATGAATATTTTATACTCCCACTGGCTCTCCACGACACGATATAGAAAGAGACACCAACAAGGGAACACGTCACTTTTGATCAGAGTTTTCGCTTTGACACTTGTAATCTGTGGAAGAAATAACAAGTATTGTTTAGTAGAACTGTCGGTGTGGTTTAATGTATGTTCTTTTTGTTTGCTTTGCTGATTTCAGCGTGAGCTCTTCTTCGAAGGTGCGATTGGATACTGTTTATTGAGTGCAAAAAAGCACGTCGATTCTGTGACAGTGAACTCAAGACTGGTAGACAGAAACAATACAGGGATAATTCAGAAGTGGTACTTTTCGCCGCCCACTTTTTTTTTTACCTTGAGATGATAATTTCGTTATATCATAGCAAACTGGGGATGAAAATAGAGGCATAACAATTAATGTGACTGCAGTTTGTCCGAGTCATTCTCCAACTATGCGTCTAATAGTACACATTATAATGTTATTTCTTTGTTAATTAGAGAATCGTTTTGAACAGGTTGCTTTCGAAAAGTAAGCGTCCTGTCTAGTGGTGATGTTGCAACCATTGACGTGATTCAAATTCAGTTTCCATTCTTGAGAAGAGGCATAAAAAGAAGCCCAGGAAATCTCTCTCTCTCTCTCTCTCTCTCTCTCTCTCTCTCTCTCTCTCTCTCTCTCACACACACACACACACACACACACACACACACACACACACACACACACTCACTCTGTCTCTCTCTCTCTCTCTCTCTTTCTCTCTCTGTCGCTCTCTTTCCCACCCCCACCCCTGTTTCTGTCCTCTCTTTCATTTTACGCAACTTTATTTATCACATCAGTTTCTTTCAAATAGTAACCGTAATATGCTTAACTGTAACTGGAGGGGCTTGATGGAACATGCCTCTTCATCCATAAAGTATCAACATCCGGGGCGCTTGATACCTTCCTTTCATCATCAATGTAAAACCGTGCTTGTATCATAATTTATTTGCACACTTTGCCAGGCACATAATGTAGATCTATATCTTGGACTTGAAAGAACAAATTAACATTTGAATTTTTTTAAAAACAAATAACGTATTCCTTGTGCCCATGATTGTTTGATATTGGGATTTTTCCATGTTGTTGTCCTTAGATTACGGAAGTTTTCATGTCTCTGGTGAAACCGTTGGTAATTGAGAAATTAGTCATTTTCATCTTTTGTTTCTATTTTTGCCCCCACAAAATCACAGATCCAGTTAGCTTCTAAATTCAACCCCAAGATCCCCTCACAATTGCTTTTACAACTTTTTAAAAGCCTTACAGTTAAAATATGAGCTGTGACCATCGATTAAATACCCATACCCAATATGATCGAAAGTAACGTGGGAAGAATGGGTGACTGTTGCTGAAGAGGAGCACGAATACCATTCGGGGCTCTAGTGGCCTAGAGGTTAAGGTGTTTGCCTCCCATTCAAAGGTCCCGGGTTCGAATCCAGGTAGCGACCGAAACATTTTCTTCTCCTAACTAAATGTGTCTCCTTTCACCTCCATTCCTGCTCTCTATAATATGTGAAGCAGCGTGGTGGAATCACTCTCTCGTCAAAATAATCAAAGTGAAGAAACTAGCATTTTTCCGCAGGTTTGTGAATTTTTATCACATTTTTGTTTTTTGGCTCAACACCTTTCATGCCCATTAAAGAACTCATTTCTGTGTGGATTTTTTTTAAAAACGTTGATTAAAGGCACAAAAAATGTACATTTTCAGTTACCACAGACTCTTAAACTGAGGAAATAACTAATCTTTGGCGGCCATTTTCTCACTAATTTTACCTCTGAAAAACAAGTGACCCCCACCTCCTTCTTTCACAAATATCTCTTCTTGTATTCAAAATACATGGATATTTTTTCACCCAAATAAAGACAAATGAACAAGCATTAAGATGATACCAACAACTGTACATGTCCAAAAATTGATGAGAGCCTGATTCCACCGCGCTGCCTCACATATTCTGTCGTCTGCTTTC